TGAGATTGGGTAAGCTTGAGTGAATTTGTTAAGTTCATCCCTAACTGTTGGGGCGTAGTTACGAACTGGGAATTCAAAAAGGTCAATGTTTATCCTTTCAAATGGAGTTTTGGGAGTTTCAATGATAACGAGAAAAGAACTAAGGTTTTTCCTACTGACAGATTTCACAGGCTCTGATGAATTTCTCAACATCTTTGGTTAAACCTTGCCTGGAGTATTTGTCTTTAATCCTTCTAACGGTTTCATTGATTCCACGATGTAAATTTGTTTTTCCAGTATGATATTGGTCCAGGATAATTGGGATTTGGTCTTGATCTGGGGTTTTGTCGATATTTTGGCATATCTTAAGCTTAATGTCTTTTTCGACAAATATAAAGGAAACTATTTCAAGAATAGGTAATTCCAGATTGTTTTCTATGCAACAGGTTTTTTCAGGATCAAATTCGTTTCGACACTTGAAAAGCGAGTGAAAGAAAGTAGAGACTATTTTCTCATTTTTGCAAGGAATGGGAATTATGAAGTATTTGCGTGCCTTCACAGATTTGCTGGATAAAATGTTAACCTAATTAGGTTGAAAATCGAGATTTTCCTCGAATAGATCATCTATAATTTTGTAATGTAATTCTGTTAGTTTGGTTTGCCAAAAGAATATTACGATATTTTTGTGAGACTTGTCCAGAAGTTGTAGGTTGGAAATCTCTATCTTTGAGTAGTCAATAATTGATCTAGTTTTGTAGAGATTTACGAAAGAGTTGTATTCTTCCTCAATCAGGGTTGTTTCATCATTGTTTTCAATTTCGACGATTGGAATTTCTTGTTGTTGTTGACTAGTAGAGGGGCGGTTTCTTATATCGTCAACGTCAGGTTCTTCTTTGTTAGAAGCGAGTACGTGAATTTTGGAACTTAAATCTGAACAATCTTTAAAGTGGTTTACTTTTATTCGAGATAGGGCATCAGCGTTCTTATTGATTTTCCCAGGTTTATACTCGATTCGATAGTCGTATTCTTCGAGTTTCAAGCGCCAGCGAGCTAAATGACTTCCAGGATCTTTAATTGAGAAAAGCCAAGTTAAAGGGCGATGGTCTGTGATAAGGACAAATTTTCGACCCCAAGAGGTAAGGTCTGAAATGTTTAACTGCCCATACAATGGCCAGTAATTCTCTCTCTATGGTAGAGTATTTAGTTTCAGCATTGCACAGCGTTCGAAAGGCATAGGCTATAGGGAGATCTTTTCCTATAGGGCCTTGTGACAAAACTGCACCGATGGCAAAAGCGCTTGCGTCGGTGGTTAATAGAAATGTCTCTTCAAAATTGGGGTAAATCAGAATCGGGTCAGAAACTAGTGCGTTTTTCAACTCGTTGAATGCGGATATGCATTCTGGGTTAAAGTGAAATGGAACATCTTTCTGGAAGAGTTTTGTCCAGGGCTTTGGTGTTCTAGCTAAATTGGGGATAAATCGACGATAATATCCTGCTAATCCGAGGAAGGATTTAATGTCTTTTGGGTTTTCGGGTGTGGGGAAGTTCTAAATGCAACTAATTTTTGCAAGGTTCGGTTTTACACCGTCTTGAGTGATAAGGTGTCCCAGGTAAGCTACTTCTTTTCGAAGAAACTCACATTTGTCCGGCTGGATTTTTAAGTAAGCTTTACGAAGGCGTTTAAAAACTTCGGTTAGCCTTGAAATATGTCCGTGGATGCTAGGAGAGGTAGACTAAGTATCTTTCGTTTTGAATGTCCAGGAGAATATTGTCCATAACTCTTTGGAATGTGGACGGGGCATTTTTCAATCCAAAGGGCATACCTACGTACGAATTCGTAATGGCCATTTTCTACGGAAAAAGCGATTTTCGAAACATCCTTGGGTTCTACTTCTATTTGGTGAAAATCTGAGGCTAGGTCATGGGTGTTAAAATATTGACATTTTCCCAATTGATCCAGAAGATCGGAAATATTAGGCAGCGGATATTTATCGTCTACAGTAAGCTCGTTGACTTTACGGTAGTCGATTACGACGCGCCGTTTGGGTTTGCCAGAAGCATCAAGTTTCTTAGGAACGACCCAGATGGGAGAAGACCATGGAGATACAGAATGGCGAATTATGCCTTGGTCTTGCATTTCGGTGACTTCTTCTTTGTGGATTTGGGGGTACCTGTAAGATTTGGTATACACAGGCTTTGCATTATTGGTGTCAATAGGGTGTTTAATTCCACTAGTAAATGTGAGCGTGTCACCTTCTAGGTAGCAAAATGTCGTAAAAGTTCGGGCATTAGTTGGTAATTAGTTCTTTTTCTTCGTCGTTTAAATGTTCTGTACGAAGTTCATTTTGTATGGACATTTGCCTATCATAAGTATCGTCATAGTCGGGGTTAGAGTTGTTAAAACTTAGAATGGTTTTTTGAGTTTCACTTTCTGAGACAAATGGTTCGATAGATAAGTTCGAAAACTCCACGGTTTTTTCTATAGCGTTAATATTTACAATCACTTTTCAAAAAAACACTAATTTATTTTAAAGTACAAGTTACTATTATATTGGACATTAACTTAACTAACTTAATAATGACGAATAATGTGGTTCCTTAAATTAGCACAACGAAAATATCACACATCAGAAAAACTAGAGTTCTAAATTCGGGCCTATTTAGTGCTAATTTAGTACGAAAAAAAAAAAGTTTATAACTCTATTTTAAAAAAAATTACGTGCATGTGTGCCAGCTTAAGATTAAGCTGGCACACTCTAGTTGGATAAGGTCGAATCTTTGAAAATCTAGTACCTCATATTTAGTGCTAATTTGGTACATTCATGGCACGCCTAAAAAACTAACAATGATGTATTTATTACGAAATAACCCCGAAAAAGTGCTAACTTAAGACTTGAATTAGCACACATACATCGAATCGACCGCGCAAGAACGGAGTTCGCATGCGCATAGTTAGTGCTAATTTAGTACTTCAGAAACGACGACCCGAAACGAATTAGTATCACATCAGCACAGAGTTAGCACTTGTGTGCTGGCTTAGTGTTTAAGTTAACAAACATTATCCCCGATGAAGCGATGAAACTAGAGTACTAAATTAGCACACATTTAGTGCTAATTTTAGACGTTAGTTTGGGTTAGTTCGGGTTAGTTTCGGTTAATTCGGGTTATTTTGGGTTAGTTTGGGTTAGCTCTGTGCTGATGTGATACTATGGTTGAACCAAATGCAAGCGGCAGTACATGACAAGTTGGTCATTTTCATTACAACTTATCAAATGTCCTCCGTGCATGCGCACCAGTCCAGGTAGGGCATTTCAACCAATAGGAAGGCTGGTGTTTGTTTACATTTTAGGTTATTAAATGTCATTTACTGCCGCTTGGATTAGGAAATGGTGTAGTTCGTTTCGGGTCGTCGTTTTTGAAGTACTAAATTAGCACTAAATATGTGCATGCGAATTCCGTTCTCGCGCGGTTGATTCGATGTATGTGTGCTAATTCAAGTCTTAAGTTAGCACTTTTCCATGGTTATTTCGTAATAAATACATCATTGTTAGTTTTTTAGACGTGCCATGAATTTTCCAAATTAGCACTAAATATGAGGTTCTAGATTTTCAAAGATTCGACCTTATCCAACTAGAGTGTGCCAGCTTAATCTTAAGCTTGGCATACATGCACGTAATTTTTTTAAAAATAGAGTTATAAATTTTTTTTTCGTACTAAATTAGCACTAAAAAGGCCCGAATTTAGTAATCTAGTTTTTCTGATGTGTGCCATTTTTGTTGTGCTAATTTTTTAGACCTCGAATAATGACGACCTAACTAAAGAGACAGGGTATTTTATATTTTAAAACATGTTGATCTTGCTGTTTCTATGGGAGCGTTGCGACGATGGAGCAGAGTTCTTGGCGTGACATGTTCAGACAGGATAACTTGCTGAAGTAGTGTCTAGACTTTGCGATACTTTGTACGACCGTGGTGATGAGACGCGTCTGGAGGTCATTGTAGTCGTGACATCCATATAACATATATTGGTGCAGAGATTTAATCAGTAACACAATATATCATTTATGGATAAACTGGCAATTAGCGCCACAAAATTTTCAGTAAGAACAAAAATGAACAAAAATTAACCAATGGTTTTATAGCGAGGTGTATAGATAACACCAAACTCACTAGCAAACTCTTCCAAAGCTCGGACACATTAAGCTAATGGTACAACAACCATCACCTAAACTTACTGAAGAGATCCTACAACTAAACAGGAATCAAATCAGGTTAATAACTGGACTCATAACCGGACACTTTAGCCTGCGAAAACACTTACACACAATGGACATCCTCCAAGAAGAACACCCATGTGCAGACTTTGTGACGAGGAGGATGAAACCGCCAGCTAGGCTTTGCGCTGGTGAAGATACAAACAAATAGGGCCAGAAGACCCTATGTCTAACCTCATCAAAAGTCACATTGTGAAGTGTCTACCAAACCTAATTAAGGTGCAGTGTTGGGTACGTACACCTAACCTGGTCTCTTCACTCTATATCCCAACCAACCAACCAAAGAAGACATGATTCTTATAAACCAAATTACTTACTTCAAATGTTGACCATTGCAAGAATCCTTTTGACCCTTATGTTGAGTATCTCAAGCACGCTTAATTAATAGGATTGTTTAGAGAATGTTTTCTGTTTGTTTTGTTAATAACTTTGAAAGGTATCCGAGTAAATATTGGTACAGAAATCCTACCATTATAAATTATGTATGTAAAAGGTACTCCAATAATTGAAATTAAAAATTCTGCGTACGCTTTTCAGTTGGTTGTAAGTATTGAATTTCAATAGTGGGCGTATTGACGAAAAATATAATGTTGCATTAAAGTGAAACAGTCTCTTACATGTAGTACTATGGTTCATTAGTTCACTAGTGAGCCATCTAAATTTTGTACTGAGGTCAATCAAGTGCGAAAAATTAATAGCTGCTGAAAATGAGTGAAGAATTGTGTACAAACTGATCTTTTTGTTGCAGATTTAAACGACATGTCGCTGATACTTATGCTGCGATCACAAGGGATATCTTTATTTTTATCTACTTAAATTGGTAAGTATTTCAACTGCTTGTTCGAACAATATTTGCACTTTCAATTTTTCACTTGCAGCTTGTTTTTATTTTTTATTCAAACAAATTCGATGTCATCATTAAAAGTAAAATAATTATAATAACGAAGGCATATTTTTACGTGTTTTTACCTCAAATTGGGTACGTTATCAAAAATAAATTCTCATAATTTCATTCCTCATTTACTTTACATTATTATTATTTTTTTTAAATAGTGAATTTTGTTACGGTAAAAGTTTGTTATAATACAATGTCGAGATCAATTAATCGTATGTATTATTGATATTTAATTATTTTTCTTGGATAATTGTTTTTTTTAATTGAGTTATGGCGCAATTGTTAGGCATACATTTAAAAAAAAATACTATAGTATCTGGGTAATTAAATTAACGTTTTATGTTTGAGTAGTATGTATTTTAAATGCAATAATTTCATAGTAATGGGTCAATCAAGATATGCCTGGACACTCCAGGATATCCCTGGAGATCCAAGGAAGATCTATAGAGTTACAAAAAGATCTCCACAAATGGAGATTTTCTGTCCTATAAAATCACAAGTGACTTCCTTCACGGGGTAGCAACTGTGAAAATCTGTCCTACGGGATGGAGATCTGTGGTAATCTATAAATATATTTGGAGATAAATGAATATTAGGTAGAGATACATGGAGATCCATTGAAGATACGTGGAGATCCGGTAGAAATACTTGAAGACCCGAGAACTTCGGCTGCAGTCGTGTAGAATTGGGAAAGCGTAATTGCGTGCGCACATCACTTTAATTGGTATCGTCGTTATTAATGTATATTGAGGACCGAAGAAGATAACAGAGATTTATGGAAATCCAAATGATCTCTATGTAGTTTCAAGGATATGCTTGGAGATCCAAGGATATTCATGGAGATCTATGGAGTTCCAAGATGATCTCAACAAATAGAGATTTTCTGTCCTAAAATCGCAAGTGACGTCCTCCTCGGTACCGACTAAGTAAAAATTCCTATACAGCCTGAGCTAGATGAAATGAGGTTGCCTTTTTGCTAATTTGCTCTCATTTCAAATCCTCTGAGTCTAAGTATCTATGTGTCATTTTTGAAATTTCAATTGGAGGAGACAATGGGCTCTTTCACTAATTTTTGAAATTGGCATATTTGGATAAAGCAACTAAAAACAGAATTTTCTGTATTTTTACTTTTGAAAAATTCATAGTCCTTCTTGAGAAAACAGAAAAAAAAGAAATACCTCCAAATAAAAACCCAGAATTTATTTCTATGACGTCGCAGCTCGCTATTTGACCATGTTGCCACTAATTGTCAACATTGAAAATTTGTAATAGATTTAATTCTGAAATGTTCCCAAAATATCATGAAAAGTAGTTAAATTAATTACTTATGGATTCAAGATTTTATAACATTTTTATTGAAATTATGCTTAAACACAATTTAATATAATTTTCTATGTTTAGTTTTATTTATTTATTTTACGTTGCACTACATTTAGTCACCACCGACAACAGCGCATTCGAACCTTTACCTGCATTTACTACAGGATAAATACAGCAGAGGCGGACAGCTCTTTCCAACAACAAGCGAAATGAAAAATATTTATGCGACGTCAGCAAATCGGCGCGTTTTTAAATAATTCAAATTTTGGTAGTTTAAAATGCCTGTAAAAAACTTATTTAACCTTGTAGAACATTTTTTTTTGGTATATGTGCCTAAAATAGTCCCTCCTTTGGGATTTTATACCTAAATTACGTATTCAAATTTTAGTGAAAGAGCCCATTCAGGTGCACCTAAATGAAAAATTACTTGTTTTTTGATAAAATAATTGTGTTTATAGCTCAGCTTCTGGATAATATTTTTAATTCAACAATTCTTTCTTAATATTCAAAGGAATCGATTCATTTAATATTGTAATGTGCTTCATTGCAAAAAGCACCGCCTGATGTCAGACATGTTGCCATTAAAAAAAGGTCCGATCCCAGACCCCATACTAACAATATAAATGAGTTACATATGTTGGAAACTCGACTCGTATGAATAATAAGTAATAATATCCTATCCTGGTCTGTGGCGAGTTTAATTATAGAAACAAGACTGTTGAGTTTTTTTTTTATATATTAACGAGTGTGTGCAGCATTGTACATACTTTCGTTTTTATGTACTTAAGAAATATTATCTTATAGGCAAATAAATTTTTCATCAGAAAGAATAAGGCATGAAATGCCAAGGTCTCAAATTTGTCAAAACTTCTACAGATGTTTAGGGACAATTATTCATATTACCAAACCAAATTTAGATTAACTAATTAGTATGCCACTGAACTTTTGGATAATTGCAATCCTATGACGCTTAATAATATAATAGTAGGTAATTATTATTATATTATACATAAATGCAGTAAGGCAAGTTTTTTTAGTGAGCGACTATAATCAATTCAAGATTATACACAATAGAATTATTTCATATGTTTTTCTAATATGTAATTTGTTGAATCAGGGAGCAGATACCAGTAGCAGCTTTAATTACATATTATTGTATAGGTACTGATTGTGTGTGCATTTTAATTATTTTTAAAAGGAGACCACCGATTATTGAAAGGATTTGTGTTGACATTTCAATAAGATTACAATTTAGTATTGAATCGATAAATAAATGCTACTACATTATATTAACTTACAAGTAATTTAGTGGAAACAGTCAAATAATGATACCAAAGCTTTAAAAATTTCAGTTGAAATTATAGAGGCAAACAAGATCATTTTCACAGAAATAGATGTCTTTGATCAACAAATACATAGGAATAATTATCAAGATAACAACTTGAAACACCAAAAAATTCATCAAGATGAGAAGAAAAAAGCAAGGTAAAATTCATATAGAGAAATTTTTGAAAATATTCACGTCTTTATTTACATCTACAATATATTGCTGGTTGCAGCCTAAAGTTGCAGCTATATTGATGATTTTGAACCAAACCGGAAAAGACAACCTAGAACACGTTGTCTGATTCTAGATTTTTCTCGATTGAATGTTTTTTTATATAAAGCGCGTAGCGAGTCAGTTTACACCTTCATTATGAATCACTTGATCTGTATACCTACACCATTTCCAAATCCAAGTGGCAATAAATGACAAACTGGTTATTTTCATTACAACCTATCAAATGTCCTCCCTGCATGCCCACCGGTCCAGGTAGGGCGTTTCAACTAATAGGAAGGCTGGTGTTTGTTTACAATTTAGGTTAATAAATGTCATTTACTGCCGCTTGGATTTGGAAATGGTGTAGATATTATTGTTAGAAGACTAAAAGGTTAGAATTGATTGCTAATTATATTTTCGATGAAGAATCTTGTATTTTAAAAAACATTTATTTTATTGATTAAAATACAAAGGTGACAAAAGAAAATATGTGGATCAAATTGCTACAGCAAAAGCTTGAAAACAAATGAACGTTTCTTATGGGACTGCGCTGGCTTAGATAAGAATTTAATGCCGATATAGCAATTTGATGTTTAATTTTCAACAATGTATTTAAAAAGTCATAGAGGAAAGGGGTAAGCACATTAAAGCATATAAAAAATGGATATTTGATTATAGATTAGCGTGGCAATTGGTTGATATAACTCCTCCCTCCTTAAGATGTTGGAAACGTGGATTGTTGTGAATTCAAATCAGACAATTCAATTTGCACATTTGCACAACCTTTTTCTGAAGTTTTAAACTTCCTCAAACAGTAAAACAATAAAATTATAAATAAAATAGCAAATCTTAAACCTATGATTACATATTATGTGTTCAAATAAGAGTTTTCAAAAGACAATTCTTTAAGATTGTGAACTCTTATCTATTTCGTCGTCTTGAAGGCTTCTTCTAAGTCTTCTTGGTTAATTTCTTGAAGTTCTAATGTTGTTTCGTTCTCTGGAAGTTCAGGGATGTCTATTTTTGGCATCTTCAGTTCAAAATTGAAGTTCTCGCTGGTTTTTGAAAATGTTTGATTTTGTATTTTCACAAAGCATTTATCAAAAGAAACTAGCGTTGGATTGGTTATAATTTCCATATGGTTTGTCTTGTTACATTGAATAACTATCGTTAGGCTTTTCTTAGGGATGACTAATAGTTGTACATCCGGGAGTTGTCGCACTGTTGGTTTCTCATATTTCACTTTAGTGAAAGGACATTGTTGTGGTAGGTCAGTAATCAGGTCATATAGACACATGATTCTTCTTGCTTCAGCTCTTCTTGGTTACAAAGGTACACATTTTCGACTTTCTGGCATTCCCATAAAGTATTGTAGTAAATGTCCGTAGTAAGTAATAGGTAAGGGTACTTATTCCTAATGGTAAGTTCTTGGATAGATTTTATACAATATAAAGGGCTTGGGATCAATCATTGGTGTGTGTATAAAAAATATAATTAACTCATTTTGGATTTTTACTTGAGTTTTCATTGTCTCGTAATACTTGATTTTATTATCAATAGGTATTTGCTGACTTTTGGGTATATTTGTTAATATTTGATTCAATTCATTATGCTGTAAAATAGTATAATGCATTATTCCCAATAATTGTGAAAAATGTATTGCTAATTAATTGCACATGATCAATTATTAGATTCCTTATTTTATTACTTTGAATATTGATATTGTTCAATATTAAATTAAAGGTTAACATTGAGTGGAAATTTTGGTTTTCCAAGGAAATATTTTGTAATTTTCGTGTGATAACCTTTTGGTTAGATTCAATAGTTAGAAATTGATCGTGGAATGTTTTTGTAACTTGTTTTAATACTTGAGCTTGTGTTTTTAGATGTTCATTGAGAGTCTTTTGATCATTATTGAGTGTCCGTAGAGCCATTTTTGTGCTGTGCCCATGAAATTTAATAGACCTCTTTTATTACGTTTTCGGTCTTGATTGGTTCTTATGACTTGTTTCATAATCTTAATTTGAGAATGACTGTTTTCAATATTTGTTTGGAACAGTGCAAC